TTATGCTTTAATCGTTGTCTGACCAAATTAAAAGTACCTCTCCAAAATTTTTGATGTCAAACAAACTAACTTCAGAACATATGAAACAGGGGGATAAGATGCTTTTCCCGACAAACCCCTTGATTAGCGGTAGTGATTGCAAATGAATATTTCAATCAAATTTGTCCCTCTTTTTTTTACCAGGAATCCCAATTTATCATCTCAAGATCCAAAGGAAGTCAATAACCCGCTCGATCTTGAGGAATGGCAACCGTTTACAAATGAACAACCCTACTACAAAGAATTGGATTATGGATTCCTTACGAGGGAAGGTGTGATGAAAGCCAAGGAGTGTCACTTCTGGACCTCAGTCTTCCCCAAGATGGTAGCCCAATCATGTGAGTGTTTTCCACAGCCAATTCCGAGTTTTCAGTCTTCTTCGTACATCATTAAATGTTTACACAGGGATCTTTACAGAGTTGTAGTCTTTCAGTTTTTGTCTAGTTTATCTTGTAGTTACTTAATAACTTCACCTTGACAATTCCAGATTATCATCTCTATCGCTAAAAGCTTCCCGTTCCCCTGGTTATCTTCTGTCCTTTTTTATTTTGAGGTGATAATTTTTAACCCCTTATTTTTATTTCTAGTTGAGCTGTTGAAGCTGAGGGCGATGTTAGCCGACCAAGTAGCTGCTCATAGCACTGGAACATGCGATGGTGATTCTTGTACAGAACCCTGAGAGTGAAGCACACTCTTTTGAGAACTAAATTTGAAAAAGTATGGATAAAAAAAAGTGCTTTTGGGGGGTTAATTCTCATTCTCTTCACATTACATTACATGAATTTACGAGTTGACAGTGTTGCTCCTTAGACTTCGAGCACCAGGGGAGGGGAACCGTCTCCACATAAAGGTAAAATCAACGTGTTTTACCTGTTTTTTTCAGGGGAGGGGGTCGGAAATTGGTCTCGAAATTTGAAAAATTGACATTTCGCTCCACTGGGGGGGGGGTAAGGTCACCTTTTTAGGACAGCCATGGGAATAATTTTTATTTATTTTTTTTTTTTTTAATAATAAAAATAAAAAAATAAAAAATCCAAGGGGGGGGGGTTTAAGGGGGTGATGGGGGTGGGGGTTTAACCCCCAAATCCCCCCCCCCCCCCCCTGTGTACGCGCCTGATGGGGAGACAAAAGAGGGGTGGCAGAAACCTAATAGAAATATTGAGATGAAAGGAATATTATGAAATGGAGAGATGGGATACAGAGTGGAGGAAATAAAGAGACATCATTTTGATCGGAAGCATTTGTTTTCTTTTCTAAATTAAATGTGTCACACAACGGTCCCATTAGCCCAGTACAACGACGAGACAAAAAGTTCACCAGACAGTCAGTCCAGGATACCGACAAAAAATATCATACATAAGCCTACATAAAAGAAGAAAGTTTCAATTAAGAGGTTTAAGAAACCGACGGCCGACAAGATCGGAAGTCCATGACACTGACAAAACAAAATAGTCCATGAAACCGACAATAAAGCGTTCTCGTGGGTCGCCCCCTCATTTATACAAGACGCAATGTTTTAACGGCTTACAATCACCATATTCGGGGAATCCTTGATTGATTTATTCGACAAGCTTCCAACATACAACAATATACAATAATAACAGATCAAAAAATAAGTCAGCTTGAACAGGATAACCCCCTTGGGCATCCCCTGCTGAGCTTTTCACCTAAAGGATTTTACTTCCCTAAGATTGGTATCACCCCCCCCCCTTCCTCCCCCAAGCCAAGTGCATGGAGAAGGCCACTGGAATCGGGATCCGCGGGGAAAATAATTGTGGGAATATTTGGCACATAACCCCGCATACCCCGGGAAGCGTTATTTTTTTCTGCGGCACAGACTGATTGGGGCTTTTTTTTAAACAGGGGTCTTGATTTACAGACTAATAGTGGTCGTGCGTGTACTACTAGTCTGTTTTTAATAGTGTTACATGTAGAAAATCAATACATCAACAATTAAAAGGGAAATTGGAAATCTGAAGAGGAGGCAGCATGTCAATAAGGAGAACATCACAATAATTAGTCAATAAAACTTGACCAACTTAAACGAAGAGGAATGTTATCTAAACACATAGTTCGCGATGGATATTCAAACTTCTTCGTAGCTCTATGCGCTAGCGAACATGACTAGTCTCACGTTCGTGCAGACACTATTCAGAAGGGAAAGAACGTACTTCTCATAGGCTCAACACGCACCATGCCCCAATCTGTGCCGCAGAAAAAAATAACGCCCCCGGGAAAGAGAGAGAGAGAGAGAGAGAGAGAGAGAGAGAGAGAGAGAAAGCCCAAGCGATTCCCTAAATCATATTTCCATAATATATTAGGCACTATGTACACACCTAACTGAAATGAAGGTAATTCGAAGTGTGCTGCATTCTGATCAGGTTTTGCAACGGTAACCGTTGTAAAACATCTCTGGCAGGGGCGGATCTACGGGGGGGGGGGGATTATGGGGTTTAACCCCCCCCCCCCCCCCCCCCCCCTTGGGCTGCCAAGTGAAAAACGCCATCATGTGTCCAGACCCACACAGTATTAGTTGATGTTAGTATAGATGCCAGGAAAACATCACTTACAGGGGGTTCAAAAAAGCAACAAAACAAATTGTGTCAATTAACCCCCCCCCCCCCCCCCTCCCCTTGGCCCAAAGCTATATCCACCCTTGTCCGGTATAAATCATACAATAAAGTTATAGCTCCTTTTTTTCAGCCAGAAGTATACCCAAACCACAATGTACACGATGCATGCCTCATGATGAGGTTATAACAATGTTATAACCAGGATGATACTCATCGCCTCACTTTATGAAATACATACAATTGGAAACCTTTAGCGTTTGGACGTATGCTCTTATCACTCACACGTTCAATGTAAAACTAATAACAAAATGTCCAAAGGTCGATTCGTACGCAAGACTTTGTCGACCGTGCCAAAAAATTTAGTCTCTATTATCAATATACAAAGTCATAGAAATATAAGCACTGTACACTGGAAACACAACAGGTAGAGGCTTACCCAGATATAATGGTAGCATGCAAAGAACTGTTTCATTCATCAATGCGTGTCTTTGCATATGAGACGGCCTGCTAAATAAACCATCTTGTGCGCAACTGATTAGAAAATATGGTCCGGAAAGTGGTATTTGCGTTCCCTCTCGTTTTAAGCATCCTGCTCTGTTATGTTGAGAGTAGAGGAACACCCTTCGTGGACACCCAGAATGGTCGAATCTTGGGTAGGACCATCGAAGTCACACCTTGGCAGATTCCAGATAGTGAGACCATTGTGGTGGAGGCATACACCAAGATCCCTTATGCTGAGTCTCCGGTTGGAGAGCTGAGGTACAAACATCCTGTCAAGAAAGTTTGGACGGGAGAGGTAGACGCCACCAAACCAAACGTTGCTTGCCCTCAAGTCCCTTTGATAGGATTCATTGTAGAAATGGAAGAGACAGAGGATTGTCTGTACTTGGATGTCTTTGTGCCGTCACCACGGGCAAGTCTTTTTCATTTTTATTTTTATTGTTGTATCTAAGTTGAGGGCGGCGGGCACGTCAAGCTACTTTGCTTATTTCTGTAGCCCTCCTGCATCTAATGTATGTTAATTATGCATTAAATATATTTGTTTAATTTCGTTTATTATCTGTATAAAATGATATACACTTAAAATATTGTATCTAACCATATTATGTTATGAAAATGTATGATGAAAAAAAGAAAAAAAGATGCCGAAACCAATAAATCGAATCGAATCAAATAATTATATAAGCGTGAGAGCCATCCTTCCCTCCCCTTCCCTACATTCTCCATGATTAAAAAAGGTAGTACATAAGTACGCAGACTCGTATATTATGGCACAAGTAACTCATGAAAATACATGTATGACCAACCAGTAGTACCAGTGTTACGTGAACCAGTTAATAATGTATAAAATGAGAAAAGGGAAAAAGTTTTCAGTATTTTAATCAGTTACCCAAACCCCGTAATTCGACAGCTCTTGGTAACTAGTACTCTGAGCCTCTCGTTACAAATGTCATAGCATGTAGATGTATATTATACAACAATATGCTCTCCTGAACCTGGTCGGCATATTACAGCACTATGACAATCATTACAATTCACATTAATATTACCTTACTCCAACTTACTAGTAGTTCAATGTACATACCACACATTAAATACCAGATACTAGGTTTACTAGGTATGGTACTATTGACTGATATGAATATGACGATAATCAAACATTGAAATTTAATGGGACATAATTCTCCTTGAGGGTTATAGGCCTAGAGGTTTATTCGTCATAAGTCTCTGGTATATACCTCCATCTTTTCGATAAACATTAATGTATCCTAGCAGCAGCATCATCCACGGTTTTATAGCCAGAGTCAGTAGCTGTAATGGTGTGGATGTCTTTGTGCCGTCATCTCGGTCATGTAAAGAAACAAAAATGGCTAGTATAAGACTCGAGTAACATTTTTTTCTTTCGTAATATTACAGCCCAATCCAGCGCCAGTGATGGTGTGGATTCATGGAGGAGGGTTTTTCGCAGGTGCAGGATCAGTACCTGAACAACTTCCTATACCATTATCATTTTATGGAGAAGTCATTGTCGTCACTTTCAATTATCGACTTGGAATGCTGGGATTCTTGAATACAGGTGAGATAAAGCCTAGATAGTGGAAAGGAAGTGGACGGGGGAGGGAAGGGAGAGAGAGAGAGAGCGAACGAGAGAGAGAGAGAGAGAGAGAGAGAGAGAGAGAGAGAGAGAGGAGATACGGGGGAGGGGGGGGGGTAAAAAAACGATACTATATACTACCACCACCGCCACTACTACAAGTACTAGGCCTACTATTACCACTGCTACTGCTGCTGCTGGTACTTCTATTGTTTTTTAACAACAAGGACAACAACAATATTATTTTTATTATCAGTATCACTAGACCCTATTATAATTCTTGTCATTATCATTTTTACTATTATTGGTGTTATTATTTTATTCAGTATGATTGTCATCATCATCATCGTCACCATTGACCATAATCAGTTTATAAATAAAAGACGGAGAAGAAGAACGAAGAGCGGGAGAAATAAGAGAAAGAGAAGGATTAAAAGAGAATGATGAAGAAGAGAAGATTAGGGATATCGATGCGTCGATTTGTATGTATTTACCTATAGACCAACATAGGGCTATAAAATATGAACATAAACAAATGATTATAATTCTCAATAATAAAAAAAGGAGGATAACTCTATTCAGAGCCATAAATATGATGGATCCGTTCTTTCTATAGAGGTCCAGAAAAAAATGTGATCCGACACTCTCTCTATATTGTTGCTTAGGAGGAGGAGGAAATTGAAACTAGGCTGTGTCTGTCGTCCAGTCACAGCTCCAGGATTTGAGAAAAAGATTAATAAATAAATACATACACAATAACGTGGTGATGTCCCTCCTCCAACCCCTTTTGACTCAACAATTGCACATCGTATTATCATTTCCTTTCACGAGGGTCATTTAAATGAAATAAAATTGACATTTATATCTTCATTTTCAGAAAAAAGTTGCCTTACTTCTAAATCATTCTGACTTTAACAGGTGACGGAGAGATTCCAGCCAACCTTGGTATGTTTGATCAACGAGAAGCACTCAAATGGGTTCAAGAAAACATAGCAGGTATACATCGAATGTTTCTATAACTATCAAAAGTGATAATATTTAAAAACTGGAAGTATAATACTGGCTTTTCGGAATTTCAGATTTTCGAGCCCATAGCGTTATACAGGAATCTGGCGAACAATCAAATTCCATATCCGGCCCTTGGGCTCCCGTGATCATTATGTTCCCGGGAGGAAAATTCACCACTATACCTAGGAGTGTATTTTTGCTTTTATCACTCCTCCCTCCCCTCCCCAATCCGAGGAAGTAAATTCGAAGAAGAATGTTAGTGATCTCTGACGATCTTGCATGGATCTGACCATTCAGCCCCAGTACTGAGTTTGTCAAAGAACTTCATTTTCTTCTACTTTTATCAAACATTTAATATTTTCAGCTTTTGGAGGTGATCCAGGGCGTGTAACTATATTTGGTGAGAGCGCTGGAGGTGCGAGTGTTAATTTTCATCTTCTATCACCGCTTAGTGCTGGACTGTTCAGAGGTGCTATACTGCAGGTGTGTCCCTTGCTCTTGGGTGCTAGACAAGTTTATACTCCAGTCATACCAACAAGACCAACACCAAACCCAAACCAGACTGAACTAGACATTTCTTAGTCATCAGTTGGTCGGTTTGACGTCGGTTTTGCGACGTGACTGTGGTATCGATATTAAAATTATTATTGTTATTTTGAATATTTTTTTTAGGCAGATTTATTGCTACATTTTTAACAAAATCAAAATGAGATATACACAGAGCATTTTTTTACTCAATTAAATTAAAATAAGAAAACAATGAAATTAGAACAGTTATACAATAATAATATATAAATGTGACAATAATTCAACTTGAATATTCTAAAAAAATAAATAGATGCAGTAGACCAACCATCATAAGCAGTGAGTTTAAATCGATGTAATATATATATATATATATATATATATATATATATATATATATCGTAGAATGTTAAACGTATGCCAACTTTTGATGTCTTATTACTTAGACGACCCCTTTATTCTTCTTCTGCTTCTTCATCTCTTTCTGCTTCTCCTCCTCCTGCTCTTCCTCTTGTTCCTTCTATCTTTCTCATTCTCTCTCGCACATTAAGTGATAAGCGCTTCATAAAATTCGTTTATTAACATCATTATAGACAATAAAAACCAAAATACGATATAGGCCTATATCAAACATCAAGAAAGAGAGTTCTTACTCTATTCAGGGAAGGGAATTTACAATGGCTTTTTGAAATAGTTCATCAAGCATTTACATCCATTTATGTGAGATCATTTTGGGGGCGATTCCATGTATAAGTCCCATACGACAAATGACATTAATCCATAAAATCCATGAAAAATCGCTAAATATGACTATAATGGCTAATGGTATATTGATACCAGAAAGCACCATTCAATTCACCGGAATATCAAGAGATTCTTCATTTTTAGATGAAATACGTTGAAAGATGAGATAATGTCGTACGGGACGGAATCGGCCTTTAGTGATCCCTCGGTAACAACGGACAGTACGAAATGTTGTCGTGGTAGACCTTTAAAGTATGTGTCGTGGCCAGACCTTGCGACATGCCCGAAATCTATTTCGAGTGGTCATAAGGGCTACGACACATTAACGATCGTTTGGCGATGGGGACGCGTCAGAAAAAAGACATGTCGTGTGTGTGCATGTCGCAAGAAATTTCCGTCGTTCGACAGTCGTGGGACCATCTCGAGTCGCGGGTATTGTCGGCCGGGCTGTTTTCACGTGATCAGGTCGTGGTTCACTCTCCCGACTAAATAACGAGGCCTGGTCTGCTACCTGCCAAGTTGCTCTCGATATTTTGTCAGTGGAAAAGAACTCTACCGAATTTGTATCCAGAATACATCCCAAGAAGAGATATGTTGCAAGACTAATGAAATATCTAACGCACGACATAATTGCAATGTCGTGCGAGCCCCCTTACGAAATATAATATTCGTGAGACAATCTTGCAACACTGTCAGTGAGACAGTCGTAGGATAACCTTGCGACAGTCGTAAGATTGTTTCACTAAACAAATTGTTCTGGTATCCACGACTAGATAATGTATCGCACGACGGTCGTAAGACAGACTCACGACACCCACAAGACATAGATACCACCAAAAAAAAAAATCGTCGAAAACAAAAGGCGCATGTCTAATTTTGCCTCACGATGGCAAGTCGATGCCACGGTTCTCCCGATGATCCATGATTTGCCCAAATTGTCTGTAGTGTCGTGGCACAAATGCGTCATTTTTCGGTGTGACCACGCCTTTAAATGGGAGGAAATGTGAATAAGAAACTGCACGATGTTTAACTTTATTCTAGAGTGGGAACGCCCTTTTGAATATGGGTAATACCGACCTCGTCGAGAAGACATTCGAGTTTGGAAAAGGAGCCGGATGTGACTTCAACAACAGCAAGGATCTTGCGGAATGTTTGAGAGGAAGATCATTGGAAGACTTGAAGGATGGATATATTATTATAAACGTGGTATGTACATTGTATATGAATACCCTTGATGTTTCTAGGAAATAATATATATCGTTTTCTATTCAATTTGTTAAAAACATTTTTTTACCAAATTTGTGAAGATATTTCTGACAGCTACACTCTATTGAGAATTAAATAAGATATACCCAATATTAGGCGAAAAAAGGCACATGCATGTTTGTTCGGTAAAACATTACCCAATATTGGGTTTAAAAACTTTACTTATTTTAGTACAAATATTGGGTAAATTCAGTTTCTGGGGCCCTATTCTATAGTGTACAGATGCGAAATTTTTATGAGCATTCCACAACTTTGCATTTCAATGTTGATTAGCTAAAATGATATTAATGACGATAATCATCATTGAATGGAATGTGGCATCAGACTTGGATAGAGCTGGGAGGGGGTCCCACAATGCACCTGCATCCCTACCCCTTTTTTCAAGTAAAGAGGGTACACCTTTTGTGATCTATTTAACGATCTTTATTGGTTTTGCCTTTAAAAAATTGCGATAATTCGAGGAAATAATCACTATTTTATAATTTCATCTGATAGCACCCAGGTCATATAGAATTCGCCCCCGTTGTGGATGGGCACTTTTTAAATGATACACCACTCAAGCTGATGCAGCAAGGACATGTGAACGTTGATAACGTCCTCCATGGGGACTTACTCAACGAAGGGTCCTGTTTCACCATCTTTACCGGTTTCGCTTCCACTGAAGACATCCCTCCTCCTGTTTTAACTCTCGACGACTTCAAGAATCATCTTGCGAACTTCTTCATGATTGATGATCCGCTCATTCTAGATACGATTGTCTTTGTGCTCTCTGACTCGGCACATGTATGTATACATCACTTATGATCTCTCAAAGCTGAAGCATAATATATCTATTTCCAATCCCCTTAATCCACTGTCGATGTAAAATTTGTTTATCGGAGAAGTCTGCCACCAGCGGAAGATTTCAATTAAGCTGATAGGACAAAGTATTTCCAATAATAAAATTGTTATTCGTACATGTATGGGATGATAATTTCCTCTTTGGTCACTAGTGGTTTTGTTCGAACGCATGCGTAATAAGAAAGTAATTTCTCGTAATAGCATAGATAAATTTCATAATGATTACCGATAAATCCGGAATCTACGTACATGACATGACAAACTTGTTATTGTTCCTCATATCAATCCCTATGTAGATTATAAATATTAAACTTAACAACGATGCAATGTCTGTAACTGAGGCATATCTTTTTATAATTAAAGATTACAGGAAATAAAACTGACTACTTTAAGGAGTTGGCAGACGCTTTCGATTCTATAATCTCTTGCCCGATCAATCCGTTTTCCAATCTGCTGTCAACGGCGGGTAAAACGGCCTACCGCTACACTATGACACACGCCCCTTCTCACTCGGCCCTGGGTCCTCTGAAATGGGCAGGAGCAACTCATGTAGAGGATATCCCGTATGTCTTTGGCAGTCCTCTACTGCGTGAGAGGGAAGATGGTCCTAAAGGCATGTCTGGATTCTTCGATGGGGCTGAGGAGGCGGCCTTGTCCAGACAGATCATGCGATACTGGTCTAACTTCGCAAAAACAGGGTAAAACTTTTATGCTTCTTCAGTTCAAAAAAGTTTTAATTACTTTAATTGGGCTAATTATCTTGATGTAGGTATCGGAATTCAGCTTATATAGACACAGTTCTTTCGCAACTTCATATGTCTATGAATAGAATTTAAAGACCTAGATCTCACAAAATCGTAAGTTGTTGGTGTCCTACTATAAGTTGCAGGGTTTCTGGGGCCGGTGCCAGGGTGCTGGAGTACTTGGATGCGATGAACGTGCTGGGTTGTGCTCGGTGAATGCTGAGGGTACAGTAAAAAGTTATGTAAACGATTTATTTCTTAATCGAAAAGACACCATTAGTAGAATATCCCTCTTTTCCACCCTGAAGCAGCTCCAGTGGAAAAAAATCGTTCCTTGGTGCCTGTGGAATAGTTTGGCGACTGTCTCCCATTTTTCGAGCTGTGTGAGGCTTTTCTTGAAGCCCCCTCTAAAACACGGTTTTCCCCGATTCTCTCAATGATCTCTTTACAGGAATCCTAATTTATCATCTCAAGATCCAAAGGTAGTCAATAACCCGCTCGATCTTGAGGAATGGCAACCGTTTACAAATGAACAACCCTACTACAAAGAATTGGATTATGGATTCCCTACGAGGGAAGGTGTGATGAAAGCCAAGGAGTGTCACTTTTGGACCACTATCTTTCCAAAGATGATGGCCCAATCATGTGGGTGTACATAACTTACAGTGATTTTCGTGATTTCTGATTTGCTTTATTTTCTTTCTTAATAGATATGCTTGAATATAGTCATGGACTCATGGTAGTTTCTTTATCTCATGTGTATGCATAATTTAAGAACATAAATGACATGGTACTTTCCATGATGTTTTATAATCTATGCTTTAAGACGTGTTTATCTTTTTATGATTGCGACCTTTATTATGATTGATGAAAAACTTCCGCATTTCAATAACAATTATTTTCTTCTGTTCGACATCTTTATATGACAACGAATAAAACTATAATCTTATTTAGTAAAGTACAAGAACAAATTCAAGAGCTCCCCCTCTCTCTCTCTCTCTCTCTGTCTCTCTCTTCCCCCTCTCTCTCTCTCTCTTTCTCTCTCTCTCTCTCTCCCTCTCATATCTTCTGTGTGTTTGTCTCCTATTATACACGGCTTAATTTTAATGACGATATCATCACACCTGTTCTTTATTTCTAGTTGAGCTGTCGATGCTGAAGACGATGTTAGCCGACCAAGTAGCTGCTCATAGCACTGGAACATGCGATGGTGATTCTTGTCCGGAGCAGTGATGTCCGAAAAGCTCTGTGGCGGGGCGGGGGCTGGATGGGGACGGGGCATGTGTGCATGGAAGAGGGGTTGTGAGTGGTGCCAGGTAAAGCTTTAGGAGGTAAAAAAAAATATAAAAACTCACACCCGCAATGTACCAGCATTTTACATAAATTTCATAAACTTTTGCTCAGCGCTCACAAAACTTAAGGAATCCGGGCAAAAAACGTCAGCCCCCCCCCCCCCCCGATTGCCCGTACGCCTATTTTCTAACCAGGGTCCCGTTTTTATAAAGAATTGCGATTGATCCAAATCAATCGCAAGTCCTCCAATCAATAAAAAGTTTGTAGTCTCCTATCTCTTATGTACATAGTTTTTTTTTTAATTAATACCAACTCTTTATAAAACGGGGCCCAGGGATAGTTAACCGACCACACTGCCTATGCTTTCCATATTCGAATATAGTAATAATTGCTTCATTATGTAATTCTGGTGAGTTCTGGGAGTTATATATTCATCATTGTAATAGATTCTACGTTATGATTTTACGTATAGGATAGACCGTTACAGACCAACGATTTGTAGGTGTCATTTAGAAAAATAGCCACGTGCCTTTGCTTTATTATAACCTCTTGGTTCATGCACCATTAATGTCAAATGAACAGGGATTTTGGTGGGGTCATTTTGTTTGCATTTCGTTGATTTCGTGTAAATATTGAACAAAACACCTGAACTCATGTATCATTTTGTTTTCATTATATTAAACAAATATTAAGTCTATAATTTAATACATATACTTTGAAGCAAACCATGTTTTTGAGTGTTTCGTAACTCACTCAAGAATGAAAGGTAAAGTGGTTGAATTAGGGTCTTCGTTAAATACTTTTAGATGTAAACTGTACTATGTCACATTCTCAAGAAAACAAACTTAAACAAATTATAAAACTTGGTAAGGATATGAATAATTTAGTTGTTAACTGTATATATACACTGTAGTAGCATTGCCGTCCCTAAGGAAGGGAGAGGCCCCCGGTAAATTTGGAATAAAACTACAAAGTTGGTTAAAAGTGCATTTCTTCAAAGTGTTATAATTATGCCTGTACTGCTTTATCAAGGGAAATAATAATAAAAACAAACAAACATGTCAGCCATACATATTAGAACGTTGCAGGCTGAATTATTATGTAGACTTATTCAGCGTGATTCAACCGGGGTCCCGAGAGTGAAATTTTTAAAGTAATTTGAAAACTACATTTTTGGAATAGATAGATAAAATTGGTTTATTGATTAAAAAAGAAAAAAAACATTGCGGTAAAGCTAACTTGCGATGACTTTACGATATAGATCATACAAAAAACTCATCAGCATTGGCAAATATAACACAAGGTTATCAACAAATGTCATTTCGTATTATATTTTCTTGATTTGTTTTGTATAAACTAACATGACATTATTGATTCGATATTCTACATGACAATGTTATAATATATATAAAATTCTAAAAGCAATAGTTGATAAATATATTTGTTAAAGATTTCATGAAAACGAAGTATTAGTGACCGCATTCATGTCTTGTATTCAGACACTCCTGTGTATATACTCTGATTGGTTGTATATGCATGGCGGGGGCTTGGGGGGGGGGGGGGGGTGAGGTTGAACTGCTTCCCGATATTCCAGTAACAATTATCTCATTTTCAGGCAGCGAGGTGCTTGAATATCGTCTTGATTTTGGGCGGCAAAGTGCCCAGATGTTATCTTTTGTATTTTGATGGGGAAAGGACATTTTAAAGATAAAATAGAATCTGTCCTTTTCCTCGCTCGCTCTTCTCACTCTCAAAATTTAGAAACTTGATGGTTTCAGGCAGCAAAATACCTGAATATCCTTACCTACAAGCAGTGAGGTGCCCAAATATCCTTGTATTCCGAAGCGAGGTGTTCATATCTACAATGACGTATTTCGATAACAAAATAGCATTTTTATCATAAACAAAGTGTCTTTTGCTCGTTTGCTTCATTCCTCGCAAAATCTAGAAACGGGATGGTTAATATTTGGGCAAGATGCGTCAGCCACTCCCTCCTCCCCCCTTTTTACCAACTTTTGGAAAGTGTACCCGTCTACATCTTGTGTATATGCAGAGACATGTTATAGACAGGATCCCTGGCATGCACATGTAAATTGACGAGTACCCCCGCGAGTACAGAGCGCCGATGATCTGAATTTAGAATTGGGATGACCCGAAAACTTTATACATACATTTCTAAAAAGGATGCAGTGAATTCAAAAGGTTGAAACGCTGGTATCAAAGATATGAATTTCAGCAGCAGTATAACGTACTTTGATATAAAGGATCATGTAAGTCGAACAAGATTGGCAAGACGTGTCCTTGTATCGTTCTTTAGAATAATAATATTCAAAACGACATATTGGATCATTCCCGTTTTACCTTAGGGGTGATGCCTATTTGCGGAGACATGGACAAATCCCTATTTTCGGGCTATTTTTTAGGTAATATATCTCAAATGGCACAACTTTTTAAAAGCTGACTTTACTGTGGGATGTGCAACCCAAAGTTAATTGACTCCAGGTTTCAGATCCCTGGAGTGTCCTACTTGTTTGTCATCACCTGCTTGAAATCGGTCACTTTCACGAAAAGCAGAAAAATAGTGGTTTTCGATCAAGCTGTAAATCTTGTGTAAATTCATTAATATTTCAATGATCATACCTTAAATCAAGGTCCATCCTTTTGATTTTTGTCATTTTGCTTTAAAATATATTTAGGGGACTTCCGTCAAACAGACATATAAGAGACTCCTCACTTTTTAAATCATGAATCGAAATTGAAATTGAAAATTAAATGGTTTATTAGTAAAAATTTCATAGCCGAATTGCGCAATCTTTTACATATGAAAAATACAAAATATAAACATTCCTGACATATAGCTTAACAAACAATAACAGAAGAACATGATAATGAAATCATATTTATTTAACCCCTACACATAAGATATTTAAATGAATCCAGTATGTCGGAATGCAAATTTAAATAGCATCGGTTAACACAGGATGTCTAATCAAGTCATTTTACAAGCAAGAGATTTATTTAGATGCAAGATAAAAGATATCACTTACGAAATCGAAATCGAAAATGGACATTGAGGACCTGTTCTGACCAAAAATTTCCTCCTAAAAAATTGGGCCATTTATTTTATACTCAGTTGAAAAGCCTTTTTTCTTCAAATTTCTCTAATATTGAAAAAACAGAAACTTTCCAAGCAAGGTAAAGATATTTTATTAGTTAAATTAAAAAAAGGAATGGGTAATCTCATAAATGCAGATATTTGCTTAACGTTGGGCATTTTTCATAACTTAAAAGTTTAAAAAAAGGCGACAGGGGGCGTATTTTCAGAAGGGTTGGCAAAATTGCAAATAGAAATGGTCCAGTAGTTTCATGGATATTTGCTGTAAATACTTCATAGGACTTGATCATATTTGAAAATCTGGCATCATTTGCAATATTCTCTCAGACAGTAGCTCTTAAAATATACTGTGCACAAATGCACAAAACTAATTTTCATTTATTATATACAAAAGCTCTGAAAACCAAGTATTATAACATTGAGCAATATACACAAATGATGTTATCTAGATCATCTATGTCATAATATGTAAAAAGTGAAGATTTTTGTAAAAAAGAGTAATGCATGTAGTAACCAGGCTTGAATTATTACTGTGTGAAATGACATAATCATAAGGACCCACTTTCATACAACTTTTTGTCAATAACCACTGCTATAGATTGATGACATATTTGCTCATAGCAAATCTGATGTAAGGATTTCAGTAGCTTTTCAGTAGCTTTTAACAATTACAGTATCTTGTTATTGATTACAAGTTTTATGAAACAGGGTCCAGAATAGCTTTGATTTGATATGCCAAAATTCAACACCACACAAGTTCCATTACTCTGTCTTCCATAACAGCTTCATAACATTGCATAATTATCAACAACATGGAATATATCAGTCACCTCTATTATAAAAATTCAAAACCATCTTGTGCTTTCATGATAATATTTACACCTTTGGAATATGAAAATAAAATCTATTATCATTATTTATAGTATATCTGTAAAGCCTTTAGAGACATCATAGACGTATTAAGCGCTATATAAAGGCTGAATATTATTATTATTATTACACTAATTCACACATCAAACATGATGGTAAAATCCATCCACAAGGGCATACTGCCTATGGTTATAACCACAGAGCACAATGTAACCCTGAGGTCTTTCACATGATACCAGTTTTCATTATAATATAAAATAGAACTTTGGTAAATAATATCACAGAATAGGAGATCTTACAATGAACATAACGTAGATGACATATGCTGTCAAAGGCTTAAATATTACTTGGAATGAAATACACCTATTTCTAAATATAATTCCCTTGTTTTGTCAGCTAAAGCAAGCTACATGTATACACAATATTTACATATTATATTGTATTAAGTGCATTTTTTATGATGCTATCATAAGAAAAGTAGTAATATTTTCTGTGGGAAGTTGTTTCTATAAAATGTCTGTACAATTGGGAACTTTTAGATAGTAGATACTATTAGGTCATTATTATTGTATGGCATACCAATCCAAATGTGGTTCCCTCTCCACTATGCCACAAGTTAGAATAATATTTCATTTTCTTCTTGATATGGGCAATTCAATGGAAAATGTTCACTACCAAAATCAGAAAATCAGCAATAAAGAAGGAAACATGTGTGCTACTGTGACATATTCAGTATCAAACAAGTATCACAACATAATCACTTCAGATTTTTATTCTTTGGTAGGAAATTGTGATGAAGGGATCACTGATTACTGATGAGAGCTTTTCATGACGGAAGCTATGTTTAATCCAATTGTTTTACAACATGTATCTATCTTCAGATTATGATTAGAAATCTTTTGTTGATCATAGCAAAACTAGAATCGTTAAACACCCCAAATGACAGACTTTTCAAACAATTAACAGTGAGTAAAAATCCTTGTTCTTTTTGTGTCATGTCCTTAACCATGGTTCCGGTTGCAAAGAATTAATTTCTCTTCAACTATTAAGTGAGATTTGCTATGTGCGTGTATGTGACAGATAGTCAAACATGTCTGAGTAACTGACTGAAATATGTTTTAGGACACTTAGTTTTATATCAAAAAGCTGGAATGTTCCATATTGATGTAGAATCCGGTGTTGTTCTAGTCCACAATGCAAGAGGTATTATCCAGATTCAGACCACACGTTCCATCCCCACGGTAAACAAGATAATATCCCTGAAACAAGGACAATTCAAGAGTAAAATCAGTCCACAAATACCACATCAAATTTTAAGTAACTTCAATTTCTTTTTAACTATTATTCCACACGTAAAGACATGATAACCTTGCATAGAATTTTAAAGCCCCTCTGCACTAGTTTGGCCATGAGGGATTAGACCTCCCTGCATGGTCACTGACAGGTGGTTATCTCATCAAATCAGCTCTCAATTAACATATAAAAAGGGAATCATGGGGGATCAATAGTCACCGATTAGGCATTGTTTGCTATATAGAGGGCGCAAGTAGCTATAAGTAGTGCAGTGGGGCTTTAAAAAAACATGCATTATGATGAAATACAACAAGAAGAGAAAATCCAAAATATTTGCACACAAAATATTGATTAATGTCTGTATAATGGGTGGAGAGGTTTAGAAAATAAAGCAAAGAAAAGAAACTGGAATTTTATTCTTTAGTAATGCTGTAAAGTTATTCAGAGGGGTAGAGATGGAGATGCAATATCTAGCATGGTGTTTGAAAATGGATAGCATGGG